GAGCAAGTGTGACTAAGGTAGTATGTCCACCGCCCAAACCTGCGGATAAACAAGGAAGATGTCGTGTTAAAACCATAAGATTGTTGCCACAAGACAATTGAGGAAAGCAGTCCAAAACAGAGTTACCATTTTCCTATCGTCAAGCTTCTACTGATAGCGACGACTATTCTGAGGCAGGACCCCCAAAGAGAAGTCGCCGGTTTAGTGGACGTGTTGGCTGCAATCCAAGACAAATCCAATTGGTCATAACAGCAGTAAAATGAATGAAGAGTTTAAATGCAGAACAAAGAGAAATAATATCGGGAAGTAAAGGGAAATCAGTTTATACCAGGGCAAAGATCTTAACTTCTCAACGTAATCCTCTTTCACCAAAGTAGAGTTTTAACCTATTAACTTCCCAGGACAACCATTTATTGAATAATATAACTCCTGCAGACACAATCACAAAGGATTGGTAAGAAATCGACAAAATCAATTACCTTCCAAAACCTGATGCAGACATGTTCATTACGAATTTAGAAACAAATTCATGAGGAATTAAAGCGGAGAAGAAGCCGTGGAGCTATAAAAAGGGACATTCGATAGTTCACAAGGGAGAGGGGGGGAACGATTTTAAAAACAGACAGATTTCACAATCGAACCACACACAGAAATCCCAAACCAAAAAACCCTAACATACCAAGAAAAATCAATAGAGAAGAGGGCACTTATCTCAAAATCCGCCGCGAAATCCATCATCCATCGCCTACCGCAAAGCCAACACCGGAGTTCCTCGAATCACCGAAGCCATCGCGAGCCACCCTCTCCTGCGCCATCGCTGGAAAGAACCACCATCTAATCCGCTGTCGCCCCCTCTTTCGGTAAATCTTCGATCCATGGCTAAATCATCGAACTTTTGATGTTTGTTTTGTGTTCTCAGGTTCAAAAATGGAGGGAAGGAGAAATAGCGACCGAAGGAGAAGAGAAAGGGCAATCGAAGGAGAATGAAGAAGTTCGAAAAGGGAGATGGGAGCGAAAGAGAGACGCGATCGGAGATGATCGTGAGAAAGGGTGAAATCGCAGGTGGAAATCGCAGAAAGGAGGGGGAATTGGGATTAGGGTTCCAGTTCTTTTTCTTGTAATTTTGTTCCCAAATCTCATAATCATAATCACTCACTAATCACTAATCACACAGCACACACACTCACCATGATTATCACCCTTAATCATTGTTACTTAATTTAATCCCTAACTAAACTTTAATTAATAATTAAAAACCTAATATAATCCTTTCATTAAAATAATTGTAATCCAATTTTAAATCTAAAAACAAATAAATCAATTAAATCTTTTTTATATTAATCTAAACTTAATAACTTTTTTTCTATTAATAATAACTCAATAATCAACTTTTTTATTTTATTAAAAAAATAATTAGTAAACCTTTTAAAACTTATTAATTTATTAACCTTTTATATATATATATATATATATATATATATATATATATATATATATATATATATATATATATATATATATATATATATATATATATATATATATATATATATATATATATATATATATATATATATATATATATATATATATATATATATATATATATATATATATATATATATATATATATATATATATATATATATATATATATATATATATATATATATATATATATATATATATATATATATATATATATATATATATATATATATATATATATATATATATATATATATATATATATATATATATATATATATATATATATATATATATCAATTTTATTCAATACCTTTTATTTAAAATTATTTTTAAATCCATCTCATAATCCGTTTAATCTAATAACATTTTGTTTAGCTTAACTTTTATTTGATAATAAACTAAAATGTTTCTTTATTAAAAACCAATCAACTTATAATTTAAATTCATAAATTAACAACTTTTTCTCATAAAACTAAGATTAGTCCATCTCATTATTAATAAGCAAATACAATTTTTTTCTCAAAAATCAATCTTACCCTTTTAAGTAACCGTTTTTTTTGAAAAATCAATCAGATCAACCCAACTATTTTCTTCAAATCAATCAACGCAAAATTTCACTAAAAAATAATAATAATCAGTTTCTCGTTTAAAATCAATTCAACACTTTCTTACATTTCAAAATAAAATAAAATCAAACAATTAAAATCAATCCCATCATAATCAACCTAATCGTGCACATTCACATTCACGACACATGCACCTACACCTCAGCGCTTTCATGCGTGAGTATGGCTTTACTTTCCTTGCAATTTATTCTTCAGTAATTCACATTGCCGTCATTTACATTATTGCATCGCATCCGTCCAAAGAAAAAACATACACATGAGTCAACACTTGTGTATAGTGCACATCATTTGCATCATACTCCCACATGATCCTTGATCCCATTCAAGTCGATCTCTTAAGTTTAGGACCTACCCCATAGGAAGGACCTTTATCTTACAACATAGACAAAACAATCAACACAATACAACATATTCAAACACATTAGAGAATAGATGTTAATCATCTTAAGCGAGATAGAATCTCCACCCCACAACAATACAATCAACATGTAGGGACTTTGCCTTAAGAGAGATAAAGGCGTACTCGTCAAACAATCCGAGTACTTGAGCCCTTTTTCTTAAGACGATGCAAAGACTATTTTCCTACAACCTGTGGCGGTTATATCTCCCTTAAAATGACAACTCGTCTCTTCTCCTAAACCTAATCAAACAACTACCCTAAACCCGTAGGAACTTTGACCACAGTCAAAGAACTCCTCTAACCCTTTAGGGGAACTACAGATACTCTGATTCCACTCCCGTAAGGATATGTAGGCATAAGATGCGACATCTTATCGAGTATACTTAGAAATAAACCCCCTAGGTCTTTTAACCATTAAGCAGATAAACACTTAGCAATAAACAAACATAAAACAAGAGGTTCATGTAGAGTACTACAGAAACTTAGGATGCTAGTACCTTCCCTAAGTTTAACCAACCCCCGAACCTAAACTCTCTTGCATTTGCATTGCATTATGGGAATTTTGATATTTATCCCTTCTTTTGGACAAATCAAAGATCAGTTGCAAATTGAATTAACGATTCAAACTAATTAATAGTTTGGTATCCAAATTTCACCGCGACAGCGAGGTACGTCGAGCTTTATGCAGTGAGGTTTATTAGAGTTTTGGGGTGAAGTGTAGGACGAAGATCCGGTACCGGGGGAGTGAGATGGTGATTCGAGGGACGAGAGTTTAATGAGAATGTCATTGATTTTGGAAGCAAGAAGTGTTTGTGAGTTGGTCAGAGCGGTTTGATTGGTGGTTAAACGGGAGATAGCATCGTCTATAGCTTTCGATCGAGTGTCGTCCGCAATGGATGGGTTCAATGAAAGCACCAAATTTGTTAGGGGCAGTGATAAATCATAGAGTTCGAGGAACTAGGGGCCTCCAGAAACAATAGAGAGAAAGAGAATTTGGATAAAATCTGCTTTCTTTCATTCATTGCATACATGCCATTATATAGACTAGTTAATGATGGAAATAACGGAATACAAAATAAGGAAGATCTAGAGAATATTTCTGCAAAATTTAAGTGAGCCACTAATAAGCTGCCAGCTCATTTCCTCCTAACTGAATTTGTTGATTCTCCTGTGATGAAATATTCTAGATACTTTGGCATGTGGACTTTTCTCTTGGGCCTTCCCGTTGCAACATCTTGGGCCACTTCCACTATGTTTTCTTTAGCCCATTTGCTATCAGTCATCCTTCTTTCTAAGCAATAGCACTGGTGATGAGTAAGGGTTGTTACTTGGGCGTATATAGCCACAATCAAGCATTTCTCAAACCAATTTCTCCATAGTATCCTTCTGAAAACAGGGGTAGTGGTAGGGCCATACATTAATTGGTGAGGATCCAGTTTGCAAATGAATTTGGTGGTCACTGCATCAGTAAGGTGGTAATTGGGCTGGTGTGGTGAAAACTTTCCTGTGTCGTAAGAGGAGGCCTTGAGCTTCAATTGGTAGGGTAGCATTGAGGGTACTAATTTCGACTTCAAAATTTGGCTGTGAAGCGGTGGCATCATCAGTTTTAGTGGCAGTGAGGTGGAAGAGGCCTCGAAAACCACCGACTTCGATAATTGTTCTCATTTGCGCGAAGGTGGCCATACTGGGGTTGGGTGTGATTCACCCACCAAGCGAACTTGTTTCCCTTTCCATGTAAGTTCCATGGTGAGTGAATTATGATCATGGAGGCACGGGCCTAGCATCCTTAACCACTGCATGCCCAGAACAAAATCCAACCCATAAATAGGTAAGAAAAAAAAGATCCACTTCAAACAAATGACCCTGCATGATTAATGGCACCCCCCACACATTTTTGTTGGCAAACTAGATGTTGTCCGTTACCCATATAGACCTTAAAACATTTAGCAGTCTCTATAGTTAGGCCCAGTTTCTGAACAAGGCATTCTTGAACAAAATTATTATTGCTGCCTATGTCTATTAGCACCTCCAATGTTTCTGCCTTGTGTTTGGCTAAAATTCTAAAGATGCATGGACTTATGATCATCCGATGTTTCTATTGCCGAGACTGGATTGATTTGGTGTTGCATGATGTACTAATTTATTTTTAAAAAAATTCAAACCTGTTTAAAAAGGCACAATCAAAATTTATTGCTAAATACTTTATTTTTTATTTAACATCAAAGTAAAATTAGTACACTCTTAAAAGAATTATCCTGAGAGAGTACAAATTACAGAACAAAAAATGATATCTAGTCTTTAATAACTATTTTCCGATCTTTTAGCAAATTAAAGTTGGAAAATGGAAATCTGTACAATGGTTTATTTATTATTTTCACATTATATTACATCTGAGGTTTATTTTTCCACAACGAGTTTTGTTTTATGGTGAATCCAAAAAGATAGATAATAGTATACAATGCAATGTTGTTTATCTTTTCCTTCTAAAAAAGCTGCTCCTTCTTTTCATGAAACCATCTCCAGCTGCATTTAAAAAAAAAACATATTATTAGAATTTTCATATTTTGATAATTAAAATAAATAAATTAGATTATAGATTAGAGATTAGAGATTAAAGTTACCAATGATAATCCCATCTAGGTCTAACTTTAGACATACGATTTTCCCCATGTGGATAATCAGTTTGAGCTCTTCTTGCATTTCTGAAAGCACAACATCCAATTGAATATATTCCGATAAGAAAAACAAGAACAACAACACTGAGAACTGAGATTTTGTGCCAATCTCTTCTTATGTTTTCAAGTACACCAGCTTTGCATGAGTCGCAATTGTAACATAGTATGTTTGCTGCATTGTTCCAACGGTAGCAATCTTTGTCTTCCATGTTGGTGTTGCATGATGTTGGTGGTTTACAGCATCCAGACTGCATTTATTCAACGATTCATAAATCAATTAGTTAAACTAAAGTTTGGAAAATGATTGTCCAAAAGCTAAGATCAACCATGTAAGTAAATCTGAATTTGTAGCACCCATATTTTGGAAAAAATCGATGTGTGTCAGAGTCGGTGTCATCATATTCTGTAATTTCTGCTACTAAATTAGGGTAGTAAAATGAGTCAGACCAATCCGCTTTGCCCTTATTTTTTAAGGATTGAACTAAAATTTTCAACACTGTGCTGATTCGTTTTTCAATAAACATGTCTAAATGGGAAAACACGATTTTTTGCCATTTTTAGACTTTAGAGATGACAAAGTAGCACCCGTCCTGATTTTATGCGAATATAAATAAGGCAACCATAGTTTCTTTTGCCACTTTTAAATTTTTGAGGTGATAGAATTCGTGTGTTTTTTGACGGGCATATATTTAAACAAAACCTAAATGATTTTTTTTAATGATTTCTAAGTTTTAGAGGTGGCAGGACCTGCCACACTCGTCCTGTTTTTTGACGAAAATTAAAAAAAGTGGAGATAGTTTTTTCCATTCTTAAATTTTAGATGTTTTGTTTTTTTGACTGACTTAAATAAAACCAACATACTCATTTGTCACTCTACACCACACGACTATTTTGTTTCAGAAGACCAAAAAAAATATTGTACCTGAATTGGGGACATATCCTTCTCCATAACATCAAGAGAAGTCCAAGAAGCAAGTTTAGAACAAGTATTAGACCCCATAATACAACTCTTGATAGTACTCCAATAATGAGGATCCTTAATCTTATTCCTCAACCATATTGAATAATTCTCAAGATGATACTCCATATAAACCCTACTAGGAACTTCAACACCCCCACCTTGACTAGTCACAACAAAACCAAATATAGTCAACCCTATAATTGCTGCTATAACCAACAACATAATCACCAAATAAACCCAAAGTGCCCATGCCACATGAAAACATGCTCCTATGAAACCAAATAGTGAAATCATAAGAACAATAAATCCTATAATTAAAAGTGGTGTTTGGAAGAAATTTTCACATGTTGTTGTGCTTCTTGAAATCCATAGTCCTGCTCCTATTATTGGAATTGATGCTAAGAGTGTGAAGAAGTTCAAGAAACCTATCACTGAGTTGCTGAATCGTTGCATCTCTCTCAAAAATTCTCTATCTATTTGCTTTGTTTTTTGTGAGGGACTTGTGATTTGTATATATGCATGTTTTGTTTATTTATTTTATACAGTCACTTGCATAAAGTTTCTAGAGTTTCTATATACTTCTATATTCTTTCAACTTTTAGAAAAAGTTAGTTTTTATTCTTAGCTTAGTTATTAAGATGTTCACAAATTTTAAGTGGTTCACTTCTATGCCTATCCGATGAGAATATAATCAAATTAAAGAATTAGTATCAACATTACAAAAAAATGTATGAGGTAGAGATGAGTTATGGAAAGAAAGAAAAAGAAAGTATAGATGAATTTTTTTTATGAGTGGTTCACATTTATTTATAGAAATGTTTTTTTTTAAGATTGAAGATAACTCGCTCAAGTAAAATTAATTCAAAAATTTTCAAAGAAGAAATTTTCGAAGTTAGTCTTTTAAGAATATTATTTTTCGCAGTTTTCAACCAAAATGGGGTTGGAAACTTAAAAGTGAATCACTCATGAAAAATTTTAAACACTAATAATTCTTTTTTTAAAAGATCATAACAATACATAGTTTATACTAAAGCATCTTTAACACATGTTTTAGATTTTCATAATTAAGTTACAAGAAGAGATGTGCAGCTAGCAGTTAGGGAGGTGCATGATTGGTAAAAAGGCTACTTGGGAGATATTCTGAAGTAAAAAAGGGTTGAAAAATAGTAAGCCCAAATTAGAAAAGTAATAGCAGAAAAGAAGGGTGTATATAGAAGTCTCAATTAAATAATACATTTTTATTTCTAAAAGCTTAAAAGAATCACTAATACATTTTTATTTTAAAAAATCACTAATCATTTCTTGCTATTGTATGAAACTAAAATCATATTCTTCAAATTACCATAACTAAAATACTATAATTTTTATAATATAAAAATGTAAATAAAAAAAAATTAACATGTATAATTTTACTGAACTAGAACAAACACATGTATAATTAAGCTTTATACCCAAGATATTATGCATGTGCTTGTTCGCTAATAGTACAAAGGCTTTGATTTCTTGATAAATTTTTAAAATCTAAACTATGTTATTATAATACTGTTAAATTAATATTATATTAGTGAAGAATATTTATTAATCATTCTATAAAAAAAAACTCTTACAAAATATGAAAACTTCTCTATTTTTTCTCTTATATCTTCCCTTTAAAACTCATAAGATGAACATTCAATAGTTACTATGAACTTCTTCTTATATCAACTTTGTTAGTTATTATACATGTGTTAGTCTAAAAGTCCCATCACTACCCATTTAAAAATCAGAGTTTGTTTATTGATTCATCAATTTCAAGTCATAAACATGTGTAAGTGTTTCTTTAAGAGTCGTGCAAGTATACACAATGTAGTAAGTAGAAAGTGAATAGAAACATGTCATTTCCACAAAAATTATTTTTTGGTAAATTTCATTAAATAAACAAAATTACAAGTTAATTCATGAAAAAGGTAACTAAATAACAACATAATTCAGGGTTATGCAACAACTCAATAATGAAGGTCACATTTGATAGAATTGGTTAAATATGATCAATTCAATGATTTATTAAATATTTGTGATGTAATGTACTGACATAATATTAAATATTATGGTGTTTGTCAATAACATAAGAATATGTAATGATTCGTTAAGATTCTTTAGCTCTCATTAACATCATTACACTTCAAGTGAAATTTGTTATGCTTACATTTATGACCCTAATCGCTTATATTTAAGTTGATTATGTAAGCTTGGTATTCTAATAGCTGGTTAACCATATTAGTTCTTAGGATCCATTTATTAACCATTGTCGCGACTTAATAAACTTTTACTTAATTATGATTTGATCAGGCCTTGAAATAGATATATAGAATAAGGAGTATTTAAACCCAAACCAACCTGTTGTTTTTTGATTTAGTTTGGCTTGGGTTTTATATCAACAATGTGCAATTCAAATCCAAACAATCCATATATTTTTTATCGGTTTGGGTATCAGATTCTCTCAAAACCGAACCAAACTGTTATGCGAACACCCCTACACATATGCCTTACAATCCTTGAAAATCGTTAGCACCATAAGCCACTTTGATGTATTTTTGTTGTTATTCTCTCACCACTATAATTGCCTTCATAAGCTGAGTTGTGGCACTGCCACATAATATTCTCGGCTTCTTTTTCTGCAACACATCTTCTGATCATCCTGTCTACACTTACCCTGAATAAATAGGGCTCATCCCACAAATAATACTTAGCCTCTTTGTAAAACTATTTTTCTGCTGTTAAGTAATATAGTCAGGAACACTTTTTGTTGCTTTATAATTAGTCGTATCACCAAACCAAGGTTGTTCGTTCACTAATGGTCATCAAGTGTTCATTTGGAAATTGCTCATTGATTTTTTTTCTTTCTTTGTAACCTCATGGTTCTCTAACCAGGACAAATGATCAACAATAACATTTTCAACACCCTTTTTGTCTCTTATATCTAAATCTAACTCTTGTAACAACAAGATCCACCGCAACAACCTTGGCTTCGAATCTCCTTTAATGAACAAGTGTTTCAATGATGCATGATCTATAAAAATAACAACTTTGGATCCAATTAGATACACCCTAAATTTTTCCAAAGCAAATACTACGACTAGTAATTCTTTTTCAATGGTCGTATAATTTACCTGATTATCGTTTAAAATTTTACTAACGTAGTAAATAGAGTGGAATAGTTTATTTTAATATTGACCAAGAACTGCGCCCGCTGTGTAATCGCTAGCATAACTCATTAATTCAAAGGGGAAGTCCCAATTTGGTGCTACAATTACGGGTACAGTCACAAGTTTCTCCTTAATAACACAATATCCTTAGAGCACTTATTATCAAAAACAAAGTTATGCTTATTCAGTAGCAAATTACAGAGTGGTTTAAAAATCTTGGAGAAATCCATGATAAATCGTCGGTAAAAACCGGCATGCCTAAGGAAACTTCATACTCCTTTTACATTCATAGATGGGGGTAATTTTTCAATCACCTTAATTTTGGCTTGGTCCACTTCAATGCCTTTCGAAGAGATTTTATTCCCTAAAACGATACCTTCAGTAACCATAAAATGACATTTTCCCCAAATTAAAACTAAGTTCGTTTCAATGTATCTCTCAATTACGACATCCAAGTGTACAAGAAAACTATCCAAGTCATCTCTAAAAACTAACAAATAATCCATAAATACCTATATTGACAACTCAATTATGTCTGAAAAGATGGAAAGCATGCACCTTTGGTCTGCTGGTTCTACTGCAATCTGATTCTATTATCAGTAACCATACAAGAAGAAATAATACGCTCTCTTCCTACCAACCTTTCTAACATCTTCTCTATGAAGGGTAGAAGAAAATGATCTTTTTTGGTTGCTAGATTCAACCTTTTGTAATCAATGCACGTTTGTCATCCGGTAACAATTCGAGATGAAATAAGTTAGTTTTTTTCATTATGAATGACGACCATACCTTCTTTCTTAGGTATTACATGCACGAGACTCGCCCATGAGCTATCAGAGATTGGGTAAATCATTCAGGCTTCAAGTAACTTCAAAACCTCTTTCCTCACCACCTCTTTCATTGTGGGGTTTAATCTCCTTTGAGGTTGTACTATAGGTTTGAACTATTGCTCCAACTTAATTTTATACATGCAATAGGTTGGGCTAATACATTTCAGATCTTTTATACTCCACTCTAAAGTTTTCCTTTTTTTCTTCAAACCCCTCAATAATTTTACCTCTTCAGGATTTTATAAAGAACTACTGATTATTGCGAGTTGTAACGGTTTTTCACCCAAAAAGACATATTTCAAATGTTTTGATAATTCTTTGAACTTTGGATCATATGACTCGGGGTTTTTTCTTTGTTGTTCATTCTTGCCCAACTCTTTAGTTTTTTTTGTGGCATTCTCATCCTGTGTTGCTTGAAGATGATACAAGCATTCTATTATATCCACTTCAGATTCATCTTCAACCTGTTCTATTGAATTTACAATGACTCGATCCATCGAGAGGGATGGTGTTTCGATGTCAAAGATCTTCTGCACAATTTCTTCCATAACATTAATTTGATAACATTATGGATTCTTTTTTTCCGGATGGCTCCAAAGAAAATTATAAAATATGGCTGGGTTGCCTCCCAACAAGCGCTTGTTTAACGTCGGTAGCTTGAAAGTGATAAGTGTCAAGTGACATCAATTACCTTATAACTTGTCTCACAATCTTTGATTCTGAGATTTTCTTCACCTTTGTTAATATCCACGAGCATCCTCATTGTCTTTATGAAAGGTCTTTCTAAGATGAGAGGTATCTTTGGGTCTGCCTTGACATCCAATTTCAAAAAGGCTACAAGAAATTATAACTTTCCAATTTGTATCAGCACATCTTTGACTTCTCTTACGGTGTCTGATAAGTACTAAATTGTACTGGTATTTAGTGTGAATAATTGACACTTAATGGATTGATTCGTCGGTTTTCCATTAATAATCCCCCATTTTTGTGCATATTTTGTATAGCTTACATTTTAGTGTGTAATATGCGTTTTTGTGTACATATTGTTGAGTTTGACAATTTTTCATATGTTTTTATAGGTAATAATGCATGGTTGAAGTATGGACTCATTTGAGCCAAGAGGGATGCTTCAAAGGCAGAATTTTGGAGTCAAATTATTGTCATTCACGCTGGGAGCTGGATGGCAGTAGTTGGAGGATTTATGTTTTCCTGACCGCGCTTAGCGTGAGCAGGACCGTGCTTGGCGCACTTTAAGGCGTTTTAAGGGTATTTTAAGTGATATCGCAGTTAAAGCAATTTGAGGGCACTTAGCGCGATTGTAATAAATTTCATTATTTCTAATTTTAGTTTATCTCATTTTTGTAGGTATTCAAGAAAGGATATGTTGTCATTGTTGTATAGAGCATTGATTAAGTTTTTCAACGCTTCTGACCGTGCG